ACTAGAACGAAGTTAAATGAGATTAAATCATTAAATCCTTAAAGTTGCAACGCCATCAGCACATAATAGTCTCACGTATTATTAATCTTTATTAGGCGAGACTTTTTTTATTCATTGGTTTACGGATCCGCCGACCGTAAATATTCAGAAAGTGAAAAATAAAAAAATAAAATTTGGATGTCAAAAATTTTACAATTTTAGTTAATTTTAATTAATTTGGGGTTCTGACATGAAGTACACTTCAAGTGAACTTTGACTCTAGGTACTGCTGGCTCATGTTATCGTTGTGACAATCAATATGTAGATTAGTCACGTTTTTTGCGTGTTTTTTTTTAAATTGACGTTAAAAAATTTTATAAAGATTATTAATTTCTGTTCTCATTTATACTCAGTTCGTTTTTTTTTTAATTTTTTTTCCGACCTACCAACCTCTTATTTTTAAAGTCAAATCCGTAAACCAATAAATAAAAAAAGTCTCGCCTTATTGGGAGGATGTAGAAAACTCTTCTGCTTTTCGAGTATCAAAGTTTCCTCTGTTATAATTTTTTTGAACTTTTCATGTTGTTTTGACATTAAATTTTGGCTGTGAAACGAGAATGTATGTGGATATGGGAAAAGGAGTTTCCGCCCTTCCCGATAATAAAGATTTAATATACGTCACTGGAAGTCTGCATTCACAACGCGGTTGAGCATGGTTTAAATAAACACCTATGGCTACAAAAACAATTGCTGGAATATTTTAACGGTAACACATGAAATTGTATCGGATTTAAGTATTTTATTCTTTTGGTGCCTATTACAATATTAACTATTTGGGATTCCTATGGATTTATAGAGGTTTACTAATAAAACATACCGTACATGAAAATATTCTTCAAACTGGGTAAATTTGTCACAGTTTTGACGCTTATTTTACTTTTACCTACCGAGACTATTATGGGCTGATGGCGTTGTAACTTAATTAAGGATTTAATTTCATCTCGTCTAACTTTGACTTAAATGTAGTTTTTTCCTTTTACTATAAAAATAATATAAAACGTGTTGTTTCGCTGTTTCGTTCGGGTGTTTCGTTGTTTCGCTGTTTCGTTTCGCTGTTTCGTGGTTTAGTAATGTCCCTGACTAAGCCAAAAAAGCGTAACCACCGCCATTCAATGATTCGTCATTAAAATGCACTCGCCATGTTCCTAGCCAGTGCGCTTACGAGAGGCGTTCACCTGAACGTCCACCACTTACGCGAAAGGCAAAACCAAGAAGTCGACCTTCTGTAAGCTCTCTATATTCTGTGACGATGACATCAACGCATCTAGACATGCGCAGAGCGTAATGGGACCAGAGTGCTCAAACAACCGCAAGGGAAGTGAACTTTGTATGAACACTAGTAGACACCCATTAACATCTCCGCAGAGTGCTCAACAACACCGAAGTGAAAGAGCATAATAGTACAATCTGCAGACATACATGTTTCGGCGTTCTATACTGTACATGCGCAATATATGTATATATATATATATATATATATGAGTGTATTATATATTACTTCCAAACAAATACAGCATTCATCGTGTGCAGAGCCTTCGCGACATTTGTGATTTCCACGAAGTTGAACATCCAAACACACACCACAGACATCACAATGAAACGAACGATCTCCGTGGATTCTAAAATATGAAATACTCAGTTCTAAACCTTTTTCTAATGGTGCACTAAAGTCCATCCAGTATTGGTTCAGTGTTACTGCAGGAGAAATCGGAAGTAACAGAAGAAAACCTGCCATGTATGGTACAGAAAAACTGGAAGAATTCTTCTAACACACAACTGGCTCATTGGCAGATTTTTAATTACACACGCGCTAACCATCACTCCATGGACATGTACAGGTACATCCTTGTATGGGACTTCGTCTCGTTTTGTTCTTGCACCTGCCTCAGGGCAAATTAGTTTAAATAAAAAAATCATTTTAAGACTTAGTACGAATCATTTCATAACATTGAAAGAAAATAGTATTACATCATGGTAGCCTCCTCCGCAGGCAACTATTGAAACACATGAGGGATAGTTGATTTGATATAGTTAAGGGATAGTTGAGCCTCAACCATCCCCTAACTATGAATTTATTTGTGGTGTTTCAAGAGTTGCCTGCGGAGGAGGCTAATATCATGGCCTGTGCAGGTCATTGCCGGGTTGTGTAAAGGCCCATCTACACAATACAATACAATACAATACAATATGACTAGTCGTATACGATTCTTATCCTGGCGTATGTACGCGAATAAATACGTGTAAAGATGCTTGTGATGTTACTCTGAGTGTATATCCACACCGGGCAAGCTTGAAAAACATGCCTGGCCACGGTGGGAATCGAACCTACGACCTTTGGAACACTAGCCTAATGCTCTGCCAACTGAGTTACGTGGTCTGGTCGGTTCGAGTATGTGATATTTCGGAACCGAATCTAGTTCCTTCGATATCATTGTAATCTAATAATCATGAGTTTTCTGTGTTGGTGT